TAATTTAAGAATTATCAACAGAAAATTTGATTTTTTATATTGGACACCCTGTATGTTTTTAATTCATTGAAAATAATTTAAAATTACCTTTCCAAAAATATAGCATACCTGATATTTTGCTCGATTCCTCTTCGAGATATAGAGTTTTTAAAAATTCGGCCACTTTGAATAAGTAGGCTTTTAACGGCGCCATGCAAAAAAATTCTACCTGTGAGGAGCAATTAAAACGAAAATAATATTTGCAATAAGAGATTCTGAATTCTATAACAATTTATACTATATTTAACAACATCAACACATTTAAACTATATTTAATAACAATAAAAATTAATAGGACACCAAGACATGAGATTTTGCTACAGGTGTTCGACATGTCGGCCGCCTTCTGTAAAGGACAGACGGGACCATTTTTGAACATTTCACCCGGAATTCATTAACTCAGTGTCGGTAAAAGATATCCTCGCATAACCGCTAAGTACTTCTAATTCTTGTCTAGATTATAATGAGCAATTTAGAAATAAGCACCTTTATTCTTCCGCAAAGATAAAAATCCATAGGCGCTAAATCCGGCGACCTCGGCGGCCAACGACTGGAATCTTGTTAGCTATTCAATTATTTTCGAAATTGGCTGCAAAAATTTGCTGATAACTTCAGAGTTCTGAGGCGGTACCTCGTCATGCTGAAAAATATGTTTTTGAGTTCCATTAGGGGCAGATCATCAATAAGGGATCCAAAGAAAAATGAAGTGTGCTATATTTTTGGAAATGTAATTTTAAGTTCTTTTCACTTAATTAAAATTATACAGGGTGTCCCAAATAAAAATAATTTTTTCTATTGATAACTCTTAAATTATTATTTTTTTACTTAAACCCTTAAATTCTACGTAAAAAGGTGTTTCGGAAATGTTTTCACAAAATTACAAAATTTTCCATAGCAAAAAAGTTACAGCGATTTATTAAAGATGCACATTTTTGAAAAACACCCCGTAACTCCGAAATGGTAACGGTTTCACCATCATGTTTTTGGTAAAAATTGAGCTCCAGACACCAATATTAGTTTTTGTCTCTTTCCTATAGAAAAGGGTGTTTCCTTTTAAAAGCTAATCTCGTCGAAGTTGACCCACCTTGACTCACCTTGTACATTACTTTAGTTTTTGCTAAATTCATTTTGAGACCTACTTCATACTGGTTTTATTTAATCGTTAATTTGTTAATTTGTGTTTGTAGTTCTTGTGTGTTTGTAGAACTATTAGCCATTAGGACTATGTCATCAGCAAATCTTAGATGGTTAAGATATTAATTTCATAAAAAATGAATAGATGTCAGCTAAAGATAAAGATTATGAGAATAGCCAATAACATCATTGTTAATTTATTTTATTTTCTACTTGAGTTCTAAAAAATTTATCTGCAGTCTTCTCATCTTTCAATTTTTCTTAATTTTTTAAATATTCTGTGGGGATACTTGCTAGAATTCAGTTCAGTGATGCATGCTGGCAAGAAATGCTGTCTCAGAAACAGTATTGTACTTGGTTTATTGAACTTACTGTTCAGTTGTTGTCACTTCCTGTTTCATCGGAAATGACAACTTTTGATTTTTAGATGGCACCCTCGGTATTTTTGACTTTATTCGATAGAAAATGACATTCTGAATAGAATGACATATCATATGTCAAGTTTTGACATTCTCGCTTAATAAAAAATCGTATTTTAAATTTCTATCTAGACTGCGATGGCTGTGTTTTAGCTGCCATGGTTGTGTTAAAAACACTAATTTTTAATCACGGTACCTTGGAAAAATAGATTTGATCGTCTAATGTTTTTAGTGTCTTTTCCTGGCCGGTTAAAAGATGCCCAAATCGTATTTTTAATCATATCTCAATTTTTTCAAATGGAACAAAGGTGGCTTATTAGCATATTTGGAAAAAGCATTTTTTACGAATAATTTGATATCACACACTTGGTATATATTTCGAGTTAAATTTTCGTTATGAACCGCATGTTATAATTTCAGATTAACCAAATGCGACAATGTCTAAAGTTGATATGTGATATATCAATCTATTCAGAGTGTCATTTTCAATCAAATAGATTGGCATTGTAGATTGAAATTAAAAATACAATTTTTTAAACGAAAATATCAAAAGTTGACATAATATGACATGTCATTCTATTCAGAGTGCCTTTTTTATCGAATAAAATAGAAATATACCGAGGGTGCCATTTAAAATCAAAAGTTGTAGTCATTTCCGGTGAAGCAAGAAGTGACCGAAAACAATTGAATACGAATTGAATATAATTTTTTTAACTGAAAAAAATAAATAAAAAAGTTATAGGGGTGAGCCACTTTTGAGACGCACCCGGTATATGTGATAAATGAAAAATTAAAATTAATATTATATTGATATTTGTTTAATACAAAATGGAAGATTCATGTTTTGATGCCGTGTTTAACTCTATTTGTTTCTTCTATTACTCTACTTATTTCTTCATGGATTATTCTATAATTTTATTAATCTAATAGGGGTAGTAATAAATTTTTAAGTTAATAACCAAATATATTAAAATTCCAGTCAACTAATAAGGGCAAATATTTAGCAGGTATAGTGTAAATTATTCCCGCGCAAGAATGTCTGTGTAGTGCCACGAGGCGATAAAATATCCGTCCGTATAATCATCACCGTCAGTGCATCTGAAACTCGTCGCGTCGGTGGAATGATCCGCAGCGAATATTTGAAATTTTATCCTTTTAACCGCAACTGCCGATAGATTTTCCGACGTTAATCTTTTATGACGGTGCACGGTACACACGAGCTAAGCTTTATGCATAATATTCCTGTACACGATCGACATTTCCTTCTTATTAAAACTGCAACATATGCACATAAAGCTTTTGAACGGAGATTATCGTCTTTTGACGGTTGAGAAGAAACTAATTTTAATAAATAGTATACTCTTTAAGGAGCTGTACGAACTTCAAACGTACTAATAACTAAAAAGAGTTTAAAAGAGACGCATCTGTTCCAAAAATACTTTTAAAATGTTCTCGTTGATATCAATTTTTGGCTTTTGATAATGTGACATATACCGGGTGCCCAGGCGAATGGCGGACGCCCCCGCGGGTACCGCGTGGCGGGGGGGCCCCCGGTAAATTTGGGACCCCCGCCTTCTCATCCTTCAAAAATAATTATCAAACAAACCGAAAACTGAAATTACATTTAGGCACACCATCCTTTTTTCAACAATAATTAGGCTGATATAAAACAATTATTTTACACTGCATTATTCTCTACAGGTATAATAATAATTATTATTGTACAGGTTAATTTGGAATTTGGTTTAGATGTAAATATGTTCAGGCGATACAACACACGGCGATTATCATGTTTTCACGGCGTTTTTGATTAAAAGTATCATATCGGTAGACTTTTTCCATAAGCACACTTATTTTAAATTACTCTGTGAGCAATATTAGCGAGATAAGAATTTTTTTTGACACGGTTTATAGTCTCTATATACTTTTCAGTGAAAGTCTACCCCGTTGGCAAAGTCTAAACTGCGAAATAAAAAATAGTAAAACTCTTGGTTTAACTTTAATAAAAATATGTCCAACTAGATGGTCGTCAAGAGCCGAAAGCATATCTCGATAAAAACTAATTTTTTGTCCTTCGTCAAGTGTCTATCGAATTTAACATTAATACTGAAAAAACGTACTGATAGAGATGAGGCCAAGATGTTACAAGACAAAATAGAAAATTTCGAATTTATTTTCTTACTAAATTTCCTAGTTGAGTATTTCGAATTTATTTTCTTACTAAATTTCCAAGGTACAATATTGAAAAATACTAACTTGCTTTCAAAATGCTTACAAAAAAATGATATTGACATAGGGCTGGCCACAGATCTAATCAGGAGTTTTTGTTAAAATATAAAATCTTAGGGACAATTTTGAAAGTGTGTATGAGCTATCAATTTCAATTGCGAAATCTTGGAATATTGAACCTCAGTTCACAGTATCAGAGAGTTTTCTGATTTTATTTTTGAAAAAACAGTCAGTTTACAGTCTTAGCGAGTAATAACTCTGAAGTAAAATTTACTAGATGACCAATATCTCACGCCAAACTTAACATCAGTATGTTATTGCTGAGTATATTAAAAACAAATCCTCTTTATTTAAGTACATTTATAATACAGGGTCGCTGGTATGTATTTATCGCTGGTATGTATACAGTCCGACCCTGTATTTATAATACAGGGTCGAACGGTCGATTATTAAGTAAAATATACAAGGTACCGCCAAAAATTAAATATAAAAGTTATAGGGTTTTTAAATGTCTATTGGCGAGTAATACATTCAAGTATAATTAATTTGTGGCACATTATTTTTTTTAAATGCAACCCCTAGTATATTATTTCCTATTTCAATTCTTTCTTCAATTTTAAGCAATAATCGAAATACACATAAATACCTAGTATCTAAATTCAACCATTTCCGAATCATGAAGCTTTGATTTTGAAATATTAACGAACATTTTGTAATTTCCAGACTTGATTTAATCTCAGTTTATACATCTATAAATGTTCACTTGAGAACTAATGTCAAATAATATTAAGTATCATAGTTTCCGCAAAATAGCTTCGTTAAATGAAACCGAACACATCGACAATAATTAAATCGAGTTGTTTAAGTGATATTTTAAAAGTTAATAACTCGAAAACGGTCAGTTTGAGGTACATTGTGTGTATCCCAATGTTGCTTAGAATTGAAAGAGGAATTGAAATATGCAATAATATTCAGGGGGTTCCATTTAAAAAATCAAATTTTTATGTGCCACTACTTTATGACCGACCCTGTATACTTAAATGTATTACTCGCCAAGAGACATTTAAAAATCTTATAACTTTTATATTTAACTTTTTGATAATTGACCGTTCCCATACATGTCAGCGACCCTGTATATTAAAAATGTCTAAGATCTAAATTTATTTTTATTTGTTTCAGGTTCTGAAAGCCAACAGAGAACGCCAAAGACTCTCTCGGTTACAACAACGGGAAATCGGTCTGGCAACCATGCTAATGTGCGTAGTCGCCGTATTTTTCGTGTGCAACCTGCTGCCCATGGTGATCAACATCGTGGAAACGTTTAACCTGCCCACCGAGGATATCTTTAACGTCAACATGATGATCAACCTGAGCAATCTGCTTGTGACGATAAACAGTAGCGTGAACTTTGTAATCTATGTGATATTCGGCGAAAAGTTTCAGAGATTGTTTCTGGTGTTGTTCTGTCACAATTCGTTGTTTTTTCCGGGGCGCGACTCACCAGATGGCGTCACGCACGAAGACAGTTTTGTCTCCAACGGGGATAGAAGCTTTAGGTGAGTTTTAATTTAATAAAGCATCATCTAAAATACTATCAGATTGAAGAAATTAGAAGATGCACAATCTTATGGGTGATTTCGTGGCACAAAACGTGTCCGAGATGTAGATGGCATTACCGTCAGCCTGTCCGAGATTTAGTTTAGTTCTGCGCCCCTGCGCGCTGATAGTCGTTTACAGCGCAGCGGATAAAAAATACTGTACCGTAATCTTACTTTCAGTCGGCAGAGTGGGTGGTTGTCGGAGACAGTGTTGCCGGAACTACGGATTAATCGGTAGATTTACGGATTTTGGGTACAGTACGTTAATAATACGGATTTTCTATCATTAAATAATTTAATATAATTTCATATGATTAAACAAAGAACGACGTCAGAGTTAGCTTGGAAATGAAGCTCACTGTTATTTCATATGTAAAATATTATGGAAATATCAATAGTCGTAATTTCCAAGCCAACTAAACGACTTTTTTTCGATCATACGACATTATTCAGTATGAAAGAATTTTTATTTTTGTTGTTTATTTAAAACGAATACATTTTCAATACATAAACGGGGATTTTTCATCCAAAGATATTTTCGTCAAACATATTACAGATATAACATATTTTAATATGGCAACACTGTCGCTTTCAGATCCACACTGTCTTCGATATGCCTTTGCCGGCCGAATTAGAGAAAATAAGTGTTTTATGCGTCGACCGCAAAACGATTGGTGTCTCCACCGTACAGCACTTGAGAAGTAAGGGGAAATCAAATCGGCCTTGCCACGAATTCGCCCATTAGGTTGTGTATCTTCCCAATTCTTTCAATCAACGCCTGTACCGAGGCAGTGAACAAAGAGAGGGAGATGCATTATTTTTTGCATTGCTGACTCAGTGGTCAAAGTCGATATACTTATTTTGCGTTCATAGTTAATTGCAAGTTCCATTTAGTCTACTTCATATCCTCACAGTTTTTATTGTTTACTAGCGTGTACCAGCGACTTCGTTCGGGTCGAATTAATAATTTGTAATGGCATGATAAAGCAAAGCAAGAATTTCCATTAACATACAAACTGGATAAAATTTTCTCACATTTATGTCAGCATGAGAAAAAACAATATGGCGATATTATTATATAACTTGGTAATATTTGAGGGGTAGTTTCATCTCGTTGGAATTTGACTTTCGAAAAATCCGTTTGCCAAAAATAAGCTTTTTACGTCAAGCAGTTTAAGCAGAATCGTGGTTAAGAAATTACCCAATTTTTTGGAACACCCTGTATGATTTTTTAAAAAATTTCACAATATGTAAAAAAACCAAATAAATTATGCTTGTCCAAGCGTTTTCCCGAAAGACTAACCGTTTTTTAAATAACAAATATTGTAGTATTTGAGGGGCGTTTTCGCCCTCTTGGAACTTGAGATTCGAGAAACCCCTCCTTATCGAACCTCTACACCCCACAGTCAATCCGTTTGCTAAAAATCTGCTTTAAACGTCAAGCAGTTTAAGCAGAATCGTGATTACTCAATGGTCATATTTTATGAAACTTTTATAAATTTATAAAAAATCTTAAAATATGTAAAACAACAAAATAAAATATACGTGTTTAAGAGTTTTTCCGAAAAACTCACCGGTTTTTAAATAAAAAATATTTTAATATTTGAGGGATAGTTTCACCCCCTTAAAATTCGAGTTTCGAAAAATCCCTTCTTATCGAACCTCTACACACTAAAGACAATCTGTTTTCCAAAAATCAGCTTTTTACGTCAAGCGCTTTAAGCAGGATCGTGATTAATCAATGACCAGGTTTTTCGAAACATTCTGTATACATTTTTAAAAAATCTTAATATGTAAAAAAAACAAAATAAAATATACATGTTTAAGCGTTTTTTCGGAAACTTGACCGTTTTTTAAATAAAAATTTTGTAATATTTGAGAGGTGGTTTCACTCTCTTGGAACTGGAATTTCGATAAATCCCTTCTTATCGAACCTCTACACCCTAGAATCAACCTGTATGCCAAAATTGAGCTTCTTACGTTGAGTGGTTTGAGCAGGATCGTGATTAATCAGTATGTCAGTCACTTAAGGATTTTATACCTATATTAGTATAGATTTATAAGGAGTATCGACTGTGCTTCTTAGACGCTATTTGGAAATTTCTGTATCAGTCAACAATAGTATATTGTTTTATTAGGAGTAAAAATGACACTTTATGTGGCGAGACTGTACATTTGACATACAGCCGAGGCACAAAAAGTCATTTTTACTCCGAACAGAACATTCTATTTTTTTCAAACGCCACAAATACTTTTTTAGTTTTAGTTAATTTCAAAAGTTCCAAATAATATAAAAAAATATTTAAAAGTAATACCTAGTTTGTAATAATATATCCAGAAAATATGCTTACACTCGTTGAATTTGACACTTTATGTTAGTTTAATAACATATATTCGTACTTTTATGCTTAGGCGTAAAAGTGCTTTACTTTTATGCCTAGGCGTTAAAATGACTTTTTTATATTACCAATCACGTCGCAAAAATTAATACCTTTGTGACGTTTGAAAAAAATATATTTTTTTCAGAATTTAATAACTAGTTTGTCCATTTGTTTGTTTTTATCAAACGTTTATATGAAAATACAAAATTCTCGACGAGTTGCTTTACTCAATAAGCCAATTTATTTTCCATCGCTCCACTGACTTTTTCGGCCCTTTACATATTTACCGTTTTCCGCAAGAAGAGCCGCAAAGCGAATTTTCCCTTTAGATGGATCGACTAGGCACCGAAATTTAAAGGATGTTATTTCTCATCGTCCGAATCAATCAAATTTAATTAATCGGTTTACGCCAACTTGGCCCAGCATTTTGAATAAACAGCAATGGCGCGGAAGGGCAATACTTATTTAACGCATAACTGAAGTAAAAAGAACGGCCAGTGGCGTAGTATAAATATTTTTTAGAATATTTTTTAAGTGAAACTTCTTTACGCGCGCTGGGATTAAAAATTCAAAGCCGTGACACAAGAGCTGCCGAGATGACATACGAAACGGAAACTCGTAACGATCGAAAAAGGGGCAAGCTAATGAGGAAGTCGAGATGGGTTTGGTTTGGGTGGTTGCAACTCGGAATGTAATTATGCCCAAAGGCCAGCTTGACCGTGTACGACACGTGTCACTGTGACAGTTAGTTTTGACGTAAGAAACGTCAAAACTTGATGTCGTCCGATCGTGACCAAATTTGGTGGGTAAGCTATATAGTACGAGAGCTAGCAACGTCGGAAAAACAAGTATTGTAAGACGTCTGGCTCTATGATATATCTTTTACTATGCTCTCTAGAACAGCATGCGGCCCGTCTGGCTGCCGGTAAACGTTGCGTTCCTTACCACGCATTGACAGAAGCTTCTATATTTTTATTAGTCCTTTAAATTCTAGTATTGAATATAAATCGACCATGCCTCCATAGCGCAGTGCGTAGAGTTTCCGACCACGAACCGATGATTCAGAGTTCGAATCCGGGTCGGGGCAAAGCCTTTTTATTTTATTTTCGTTTATATTCTGATAGTAAAGTATTAAATATTTGTTTTTATTTAATTACCAGAATTATTTAATACTTTACTATTAGAATATAAACGAAAATAAAATAAAAAAGTCTTTGACCTGACCCGGATTCGAACTCTGAATCATCGGTTCGTGGTCGGAAACTCTACGCACTGCGCTATGGAGACATGTTCGATTTATATTTAATACTAGAATTTATAGGACTAAATTAATAAAAAATATAGGATTTTCTTCCGATGCGCAGTAGTGAACGCAACGGGTATCGGCAGCCAGACGAGCCGCATGCTGTTCCAGAGAGCATAGTAAAAGATATATCAAAGAGCCAGACGTCTTAAAATACTTTTTCGAAAACGTTGCTAGCTCTTAGACTAATATGAGCGACGCGACGGTGAATCCTAGAATTTTAGGAAAACCAAAACACTAGAATATTGTAACGTTTTTAGTTCGTTACATGTATTTTTTATATATGATATATATGATGTCTGGCGTATCGTCATCGGATTCCGTATCGTTAAGGCCTGATAATTTATTTGGCACGCTTGGCGTAATTTTTACGTTCCCTAGTCGCCAACCCTGATATCGTTAGGTCGCTCTCCGCGCTTAACCTCACTTTTGTTCACCCGGCTTTTAGAAATGGTGATTATTTAAATCTTGCTGTATAATCTGAATCAGCTGCTATTTCAAAGCACCAGGTAAAGATGAAATATTATCCTTTTAGATTCGATATTATTACTGCATATTTTTCGGGTAGTGTTTTGGATGTCCCAACTTAACTTGTATTTGTATTTTGCTGGCACGTTGGCGTCCCTATTCTTTTGTCCTCCAGAATGTTACATGGAAGAAAGGACAGTTCCTTTGTTTATTATTGAGCCCTCGGAAGTAATTCGAGGTAGGTTCGTTTTGTTTATTAGACCTTGTTAGGTTTTCTAAACAAGAGTTTCGTATTTTTAGGGTCTTATGGACAGACTGTGTCCAAGGTACAGGCATTATCCAATGTCCTAGTAGTGTTCCAAGGTACGGGTTGTGTTCCCTTGTACCATTATCTTATGGACGGATGTCCCATGGACGAGTGTCCCCAGTAGGAGTGATTTATCTTACATATAAAGTGCCCCAGTATGGATACAGCGTAAGCCCCATGCTGCATCGCTCCCATATCTAAGCCTAGTCAGTAGCTACGGCTGCATTGATTCATGGTGTCCTCATTCTTGCCCCTTTTGTTGTTTTGACCAACAGGATCGCCGACAGACAGTACAGAGATGCGAGCCCACCTCATGCTGTTACTGTTTGAAGCAAGATTACATAAAGAAGAGCTAAGTGTAGATTTAAGTTCTAGTTTTACATTTAACATTTAAAACATTTTCAGTCTTAAACAGTAACGTACATCTTAAATAATAACGTACATTTTAAATAATATCGTACAGACTATATTTAGTGGTTTGAGTTGATTATTAAGAATA